TTGAGATTTCAATGCAATTGAGGATTCAGAACGGCAGAAGCAGCGTAACCCTACCAAGAGTGATGACATCCATAACAAATGATTTATTATTCACTTTTCCCATTTAATACACACAAGGCTATTCTTTAGACTACTTTCAAATGGAAATATTACTACCAGAGAATTATAAATAAATTTCAAATCGTGCAAACAGGACTTCTTTCATGGCTTCGCTTCTGTTTTAATGCAATTTATTTATTACTTTTTAACGGAAACCTATATGTAGTTGATTAAGTTAATTCCTAGTCTCAAGATTCTATTATAATAACAAGTCTCCTTCTAATCAAAGTCACGAAGTACCCAAAGCCCAACCCTCGTCTCTATCACCCCTAAGATCCTCCAGTCATTTCTTGCCGCTAGAATAGAGTGGAATACCGTCACGGTTTAAAGAGACAACGTCTCAAGCCAAAGACGTTCCCGAAGAGGCCTGTACACGTCCTAATAAAATTTCACGGTTCCCTTCGCGCGCATACCTGGGCGGAAGAGGGAACATATGGGAGCGTGCTGGCGAATGATATTCGTGACACATCCCACGTGCCAGCATTCCTGCGTCCTACCCATCGGATCCCGCGGGATTTATTTTCGGATCGGTATGACGCCACCGTGGGTTTACACACACCGGTGCCACCAAGCAGCCGCGCCGAGGCTTCAGTGAATCCGTGGCTGGCCCGTATGCGAGTCACACGATCGACGATGCGGCGCCCCGATAACGATAGATCGATCGATCGTGCGATCAGGTCGCGGGACGAGTCGCGAGCCGTGTTTACCTAGCCGAATTCCAGAGGTGCGTTCCGTCGTGGACCGAATCCCGACGATCCCCGCCCTTTGATCCTCCTACGCGTCATCCTCCTTGACGTGAGCTCGGAACGTGTTTGGCTGCTTGTACGGAATATACCAAAATTTGTACCTGGATGCAAATTAGGATTAACGGATTCGAACGGGGAGGGGAGTAGACGATTGGTTCCTCGTTAGTGGTTTACTAACTATTGGTGTTTGAGTTGTGTTCCTATGGTCATGGAAAGTTCACTGTGTTGGGAACGCGAATGGTCTTAGTTTGTCTTATGGGGGGTTGCAATTTGATTTAATTTAAGGAAAGCGAAGGGTTTAGGATTCTGTGTTTTAGTGAAACACAAACGGTGTCGGACTTATCTGTACTTTAAATTTTAAACGAAATTTGAAATTGTATATAATGATAATTAAACCACGACTATGATGAAAAACAAGATCTCGAGATTTTTTTTGGAAAACCTTTTGTAATTCTAGTTGTAATTGTAGCTGCTGTAAGCCGTTATGTTTACATACAATTTTTCGCAGTTCCAAGTAATTTCATCAAAAATAGCTAGATGAGTTTTCGAGTATCATAGTCTGTCGTATCTAGATCCTCATCAGGTCCTGGAAAATATAAACATGCCTCAGTGAATATTAGATTACTGCATCTGAAACAGAAAAAACAAAAATTTTTCCCTGGAGGTCCATACATAGGATTATTCAATATCCAATGAACATACTGCAATAAGGGTAGTATTGGTTAATTATATCGAGGGGAAACAGAATTTCCTCTTACGCAATATTTCGATATTGCCCTTATTATAACATGCTTATATTCCTCAGAATTCGATGAGGACTTGCACGGTAATTCATGATGTTTGAAACGTCGCCAAGTTTTCTCCAACATTCGTAAACATTGTGCAATATCCAGTTGAAAAGATATTACGAATGAATTGTCGTTGTGAATTGTTTCGATGATATTTTCTAAATATCTGGTCTAAAATCGATGATCGACAGATCGAGGCCTAGCGCGGCGAGTTTTTTCGTTTCCTCGAACAGCAGAGCCTTCCGAGATATTTCGAGATATGTATGGAGGTACACTCGGTGGAAAAAATTTAGCCGCGCTAGTTGGAGTGGTGTGCCTATAAAACTATTGCTATTCCGTTTTTACAAAAAAGAAATATATGTGAGTGAAAAAACAAATTCTGAATTCGAAGATAATATAGAAGATAAATAAATGCGTGAATCAAAGTAACCGCAATGAAAAATAATAAAAATATAAGTACCTATTATAGCGGCGTATAATTCTAGCGTAACTAACGTTTGACCAACGCTGAATTAGCATCAGTAGAATTATTTCGCTATCGTCTAAATATATATCAATCATTATTGTTGATTTTATACATAGAAAGTTAAAATTTGTGGAGAAGAACTAAATCAACATCTGCACGACCAATAAAGGTATATACCATACTAAATGTACATATATATATAATAGCGTTTCTTTCTTTATTAAATAAACAAATTAATCAATGAATAGATTCATGAATTAATAAATTTTGCTCACGTCTGACCGTGGAATAATTTTTAGCGCGGGAACAAAGTTTGAGGAAGTAAAGCTCGGGACGTTACAGAAAAATGCTTATTTATAACAGGCGTATACGTAAACACGCGTAAATACTTTGGCTTTCCGCGCAGACAGCCCGCCATTTCTCCCACCGCCGATACGGTTATAAAATAGGCAGTGAACGTTACGGGCGCTCTTGCCAGGAATTTATTTTGGCATGTTGCGAATCACTGTGCTGGGTGCCCTACTGCACCCGTGTTTTCGTGTCTCCTTCGTAACGAACCGATGAAAGAAACAGTGACGAATCTAAAATCTACAGGTCCTCGGGATGAATTGTAATACTTTGCCCTTTTCTTTTCTTGAAGAGGAGGGGATGCTTTAAATTTAAGAAAATAGAATTTTCTTGCAGACTACATTCTTTATAAAAATCCTACTATATTTAGAAAGGTTTCTTTGCTGGCTTCCATAAGTAACAGGGAACCAAATATCGTTTAATAATAATATTTACGAAATATACCCTTTCAAATCGCAAAATCAAAAATTAAAAGGTAATTTCCATGACCCCATAAAAGAGCAAGATAACGAAAAACCAATTCATATATTGTCTTTCCTCCCTTTTGCATTTTTCTATGAAAATATTTTATACATATCAGTTGGTTTAAGAGACATGCTAGTAAAATTAAATAATTCATCCCGAATGTATGTATTTTCTGCAATGAATATATAGCCGAGCATACCTTCGATTCCAAACTCGGTCGATTTACTGGAAAAATAAAAATAACAGCGAACGGTTGTAAACTTTTGAGTGTGCACCGTTTCTCCGATAGGAAAGAAACATCCATCAATATTTATTATTCCGTTACCGCTTCAAGGGAAGAACTCGCACGCGAATTCATGAAAAACAATCGCAAAAAACAGCGAAGTGGTACCGGAGCCATTTCGAGATCCTTCCGAAGTCGAACTGCCTCGATTCTGACAAGCTGCCAAACGTCTGAGGTCACGTTACATAAACGATTCGATATTCATGCGAATTCCGTCGGAGAAATGATTCGCGATCGTGTCTCTGGTACAGTGTGTAACCACGTGCAACGACGAAGAGTCGAAACACATCTCGCGAATTGAAACGCGAAACGCGAGCCAACGACGGTTCGATAATGCGATTTTGAATGCAGCGGGCAATTGACCAACGAGAGCGCGAGGGGAAGAGCAAACAACGTCTCCGACGATGCGAAACGGTTCCTTTCGGTCAACATACTCGCGCGTCGTTTGAACATATTTTTAAATCATCGCGAATGTTCGATCCTCCAAACTAGCTAAATCGTGTATCGCCGAGTGGATATTCGAATTTCGAAATTTCACGTCATTGTCCCCCTGAACTGCAACTGTGTACAGGGTTTTAATTTGTTGGTGCTGCGGTAACAGTTTCGATGAGCTAACGGCAAAGGTAAACAGTTGTCTGTTACCTTTGAACGATCAAAATATTTTCATTCCTTTGGGAAAATAGTTTCGAAACTACGCGCGTATTTGTATATCGAAGTGAAGATAAATATTGACACGTGAAATGTGAATGCGAATTTATCAATATTGACGTTCTTCTTTCGCGCTGGGGAAATACTGAATTTTCCATTGAAGATACTTGTAACGAAATGCTTGAATATAACAGTGAAGAGATTTTGGTATCAGAGAATTTCGAATGTGAACAATCTGAGGGATAAATTCCTTGCTTCGTCGGGCGTGGTTTGCAGAGGGAAATGATTTGAATGAAATAATTATTTGTTGAGCAATCGTACCTGATTGATTTGGAGGACAGTCACAGTCAAAGTTCGCTAAAAGCTCTCCAACCATAATAGCAACGTAGCACGTCTCATAGAAATCGCTAAGGGGATATTCTAGTCTGGAATACCCCCATTTCTTCATGAATTTTTACCTGATATACTTTTAGTAATAGTTTTTTCCTGAAGATATGCTGATAGAAATTTATGTTTGATACCTGAAACTTCAAGAAAATGCAAGAACATATATGCAGATAAACATATAGCTATGTTTAAACGTCTAGATTAGAACGTGAATGTTTAAAGAGAACAGTGAGAAGGTGCCAAGACTTATAATGTTTCATAACTTCGTTCCTGGATCATGCGTAGTTTCAATGCATGGATTGAACGACTTAAATGACAAATTTGCACTGCGTTAGTCATCACTTGAATTTGGACACACAAGAAGATGGACTCCAAATAAAAGTGTTAATTAAACATAAATTCCATTAAGAAAAATTCAAGTAATTATTATTCGACTTCGGAAATAAAAACGAGCAGTTGCAATCGATTTGGAACGCAGGATTATGAATATAGAATCAGCTACTACAAACATAAGCTACAGTATACGAGCTACAACAATATACATGTATATCGATTCCAGATGAAAGTATTAATTGGGAGCAAATAGTAGTTATCCGTTAAGAAAAATTGCAGGATTATTTAAGTTCACCAAGCCGAGATTATAAATATAGAATTAGCCATGAGAATGTAAATTGTGAATCATGATAGTCTTTTCAAAAAAAGATATATAATCACCTTTCAAGAAGATTTAGAAGACGTTACTTAGAGAAACGATCATAACTTGAGACAATTTTTCACTCCAGCACCTCCCAATATCAACAATACCATCCAAGACACTCAAACCACATCTCGTTAAAGGTCCCTGAAAGCTAACAGGATCTCTTAAATTCCAAGTGACGCAAGAACGAAAATTGCGAGAACCGCAACCATGAAGAACACTCACCCGATCATAACAGCGACGACGTCCAGTCCAGTCAATCCGGATTCCTCGTCGTCGAACGAATCCACAGAGCCGTGCATCAGACTGAAGCTAGACAAACCGTTGCATTGGGAGTGGGAGCTGACCACGTCGGCGGACACGCTTCCTGTCATCCAGCTGCTGGGGAAAGATGGCCGTCTGCTGGTGGAGACCACTGGCAGAACAGCTCAGAGGGCCAGAGGCTCGTTTCGCGAGGGTCTCAAGTCCTACGAGCAGTTTCCTTTGGACAAGGCTGTTGCCATGAAGACTCCAACCGCCTCTTCGTCCTTCTCGTCGTCTTCAACGTCGACCATCGTCGCTCCCCTTCAAGGGAACCGAAACATGGACGGGTTTAGCACGAAGTTCGGAACCTGCGAGTTCGGTTACAAGCCGCGGAAATCCAAGAGCGAGGTGACGGTGAAAGAGAAGGACAGGAAATCCAAGAGCAAACGCTCCGTGGAACCAGAGGCTGCCCAGCGGAGCGAGCAACCAAAACCAGGAGCGAAAAGGTACTCCGTGGGCGATTATCTGCGGCAACAGATCATAGACGACTTGAGAACGAAGAGCACCGTGGGCAAGTGTCCGGAGGAGATCGCCGAAGAGAGGTGCAAGAAGGTGAAGGCTTACTTGAGGAGCCAGAGCGAGACTCTACCGAGATTGATTCTTACTGAGGAAGACGTGGACGAGTCCGAGTCGAAGATTAACGAGGACGAGGGTCGAAATCGGAGAATAAAAGACGGCTTGAAGCGCCTGCGGGAGGCGATCAAGGAGGAGGACCCCAAGCTCAGGATCTCCAATGTCCCCGAAAAAACACGCGAAGATGTTTCGCGGATCGATTATACGAAGGAACCACCAGAAGCAGACAGCTCCGTTTTGGAACCGAGGGACATAGTCGGAAACGAGGAGCTGGAGAAGGTGAGGGCATTCTTGAGGAAGAAGTTGCAGCAGAAGATGGACCACGAGCGTTCCCTGAGCTCTACCAACGAACCTGCCCGCGAAATCAAGAAGAGGTACTCCGATTACGGTCACGAGTGCCCGGAAGGTTATCGTACTAGGAAGGTGCGCAGCGAGACGAGTGTCATCAGGTTCGACCCAGAGACTCTTCAGAAGGACCGGCAAAGGGAGAGGGAAAGATCCAGGACCAGGAAGTCCCCTTCCGAGGAATCGTTCAAGGATAAACATCGTCATCGGTCCAGAAGCGACGCCATCCGCGAAACGTCGGAGGCGAATTACCGACGCAAATCCCAAACAAGGGAGTCGGAGAAACGGAAACTTTACCGAAAAACGAAGAGCGACGTTTTATTGGGCCAGGCGGCTCGCAGCGTCGACTCGAGGCAGGATTTCGAGAATCCTCCGAGACGAATTAGGAGCCAGGACAACGTCGACGAGTCCTGGCGGGAGTACAAGGAGAGGAAGAGGCACGAGAGGCTGCACCGCGAGTCCGAGAAGGAGGTGAATGAGGAGGACTTCATGAGCAAGCCGCGGTGGAAGGACCTCCAGGCTGATCTCTGTACCTTCAGGAACTGCAGGATCTGTCAGAACTTGCAGAATTGCGTAAATCCGTTGCTGGAGCGAAACGACAGCGCGAAGGACCGCGGAGTCCCCGAGCAACCGAAGGAGGACTCCGGAGAGTTGTTGAACGACTCGGCGAGCGACAGACCCGGCACCAGCCTGCAGGAGAATTATTTGGTCGTCGATAGGGTTTCCGGGGATCCGAAGAGGAACTCGGGAGAGAGTAAGGCGAGGAATCGCGGTGTCAAAGGGTCTGACGCGAAATCCCCTGATTGCGGCTACAACACGATTCCCAAGAACGCGTTCAAGGACTATCGGGAGCTGTACATGCGGTCAAACGTGAAGAAGAGCAACACGTTCAAGATCATCGATGGCAGCGAGGACCCCGAAGCTGAGGATAAGAGTGATTCGAAGCTGGACGAGGGATCGATCGATAGTTTCGGATGTTTAAATAGCGAGGGTCTGTTGATAAACAAATCGAACGAGGATATCGCCAGGGATTACTTTAGCAGAGTTTACGAGCTCCTGAAGAAGCGACAGGAAGAAGCGAGGAGGGTCCAGGAGAACCAGGGTGTTCCCGGCTGTGACGACTCTTCGTCTTCTAATTACGTGGAGGTGGTGCAGAAGAAGAGGCCTCGGCGCAAGAAGAGGGACCGAAGTGCGCAAGGTAAGCGATTTTTGAGTCTTCTGTTTGTTGGTTGAATTTGGCGAAGGGTTGTTTTAAAACTGAATTTGAATCGTTTCTTTTGATTCGAAGGTGGAAAGGTAGGAAAGTCTCGAGCATAGTTTTTGATTGTTCTGAAGTAAAAATAGAAGGAAAAGGAAAGGAAAATTTCTTAAGTGTCTTAAGTTTCTCCAGTGTCAAAATGCTCCAAATTTAAAATGCAAATGACAAAAGCCTTCTATTCTATAACGCCTTTATTTTAAAATGCTTCAGTCTCAAAATGATTTTATACCAAGATGTTAAAATCCTACAATTTGTCAACGACAGAGTGTTGTATTCCTAAAATGTTTTAACACCAAAATATTTTAATACCAAAGTGCTTCAATGCTACAATAGTTGAAAACTGAAATGCTTCGATCCAAGAATGTTTCAATTCAAAAATACTTCATTTCGAAAGTGCATCGAATTTACAATGCCTGAACGTCAAGAGGTATCAATCGTAAAAATCCTTAAATAACAAGAACATCTAAGCATATTTTCCCCGTATCGCTTTAAACTTCAAACCTACCACCCGTCTCCGAGCGCAAGAATTTTCTTTCCTTTCTTAACGGGACATTTTTTCCAAGCATTCTGGAAACCACTGCTTCCATTCCTGCGTAATTTCGGGTCTTTCAATTCGCGAGGTCAAACAGTGTCCCGAATTGTCATTGAGCAGGTGGCACCGCAGACATTAACCGTGAGTCTTTCGCTAATGCGAAAACTTCCCCCTTAAAAGTTTGCTCGCTTTTTACTGCGCCCCGTCGTATTTACGCGACGCTGGCTCTCTCTGGCATTCTAGAAATATTCAACGTCGCGTTATGACGAAACTTTTGCATTATATCAGAGAACGGTAGGCTGCATTTGTTAATATTGTGCCGCAAACAATGTTGGTTTTCGCCGTCTGCGTGAAACTCGTACTGTTGACAATAGTCCAAAGAAAGAGAGAGGGCGAGAGTTCCGACGGTAGAAAAAACTCTGTTCTGAATAAATGTCGCGTTAATCGGTGCTACTTCATGCGCGTTTTCTTGCGGTAAATATTATGAATCCACTCGAAAACGATTGGAGATAATTCAGTGCGTCTTGTTCAATGTACACTGCGTGTACAGAGAGGTCCATTCGTTTCAACGGTTCTAGGATAATGCGACACACCATTCTATTCTCACCGTGTGCAAGCTTCCAGTTGTCGCTTGATCATTCGTTCTTACTGGAAACTAATAACCGGGGCACTGTTATTGAGATCTTGGTCGTGTCTATCTACACAGTAGATACTTAATTCTCATTAAGCCCGGGATTACGCGCTCTTTGATGCTTTTAGCGATCTCACAGACCGAATATCCTGACAGAATGCCTAACGAAATAAAGGTCAAATTAAAGTGGCTTTTAAACGTCTGGCGACATTTACGCAGACAGTCGATAATGTCTCAAGTAAAGGTTGTTGAATAACTGGTTCAGAATAAATTGGCTATCGATCAATGTTTCATTCCATTATTGGTGAAGTATGAAAAAAAAAACACGAAGAATTTAAAAAGAATTTACGTGACACAATATTTATATGGATTTTATTCGAAGAGTTAAACATCGAAATTTATTTGGGGATACATCCATTGAGTGCATTAAACCTATTTATAAATTCGTTGAACTTACGCTGCGTACCTATTGTGTAAGTTTCAATAACGATTTCGTGGTCCCTTGTCTGCAAATAGTCCCATAAAAGGAAACTGCACTGCATGCAATATTCTGTTTGGTTGAATAACGGTTTGCGAGCACGTAACCCAGTCACGATAAACTTCGCTACGTAGGAACTATTACATCACGATAAACGAACATTATTTTTGGGAGTAACTGAACACCAGTCCCATCTCCCGTGGTGAATTAATGGATATTTTTTTACGAACTTTTTTTTCTCCAATCAAAAGATTTTATATTATCGTGCGAAACTCGCAATGAAAAATGTTGAACTCATGAAACGGTAATATATCAAAGACCTGGATAAACAGACAGGTTAAACAATTGCGAAGTTAAGAAACCTAATTGCAGTGTTGACAGATAAGAATATAATAGTAGAGAAATTTAAATTAAATGTGTGTAACAGTAATTTTTGAGAATAAATATTCAAGTAAAAGATAAATAAATACTAAAAAAAGAAAAAAATAGATTATACATATTGGGTATAATTAATTTATAGAATATTCTTAAATATATCAAATAGAATAAAAGTATCTTGAATTGATGTAACTAAAAATTTCCTAACGATGAAAATATAAAACCAAACTATTTATAGAAGTTCTAATATAGTACAAACTAGTATTCCTGAATCGAGGAATTAACCAACACATTCAATTATAGTTTGAACGAACAGCTTGCTGGCGTTGGGATTAAATAAACCATCGAAAGTTTAATTATCTCTGGTCTCGTCCCGTCGGCCATTTTTGGAAGTTTCGCCAGCAGGAATATTCTCCAAATATTTAATATCCACTGCGATTCAAGGGGAGACGGGCAACGAGCCGAAAATAATTATTGTAAAAGGAGACTCGGAAGAGTTGATTACGGGAAAGCAGGCGGATAATTTTGGGCAGACGTCGCCATGGTCCTGTATAGCGGCCAGTCTCTGTTGGTCCTTATGACGGGCTTTCAGCAAAGGGATTAGTGCCGCTCCTTCGGCCAGGAAGTCTCGCGAAAATCAGAGGAAAGCTTCGTCCGCAACTCGCCGCCGCTCTTACAGATATAATCTCTTTACTGCTACCACATGCCAACCCTCACCCCTTGCCCTTTAACTAGGACCAACGTTTTACTTTTTGGAAAATGTTTCAGAGACCGAAACAGTTGCAGCTTCTTTCGTTTCGAGCCGCACGTGACATTAAATGCGGACTAACTTCGCGACTGCTGGCACTGCTGTTTTCCTGAAACATTTTCTAAACGCCATCTTATGGTTCTAAACAAGTCTTTTTTTTTCATTAATTATAGTTTGCACCTGAACTGTAATTTCTAATACAGTTTTATTTCAATTTTCGCGAAATACGTCGCGAAAATGTGGAATAAATATTTTCATTTTGAGTTCGACTTGGCTAACATGTCTGATCATTGCTCTCTGTTTCTACTTACGCTGGCACGGTATTGTCTGTTTCGACTGGGTCTACCTACTTAGAAGGTAGATCTCTTCGTATTCTGCTGTAATCAGCATTTAAATTGTTAAAAAGAATTGTTTCAACTAACTTCTTTGCCATTTTCAAACCTAAAATCACACCTAAATGACGACAGTTTATTTTCCTCAATTTTATACATACAATGTCCGTAAAATATAAATAATTTAAAATATTTATCTATATAAATAAATACTAATTAAATTCCTGCAAGTTTTTGATTAAAATTTGTATTGCACATCGAAGGAATAACGTATGTATCGCCTTGATTGCATCGTGGGATTTGAATTTTTAGATCACGCATGCCACGAAGGCGAGACTCTAATCATTCTACGCAAATCACTGCTATTCGAGGCGGTTAAATGCAGTCCGATATCAAAGCCTCTTCCGTGTACGATAAGAAGGGCTTAACGAGAGCGTCCTCCGAACCCCTCCCTTTAATCAAAACACGTCGTATCAGAGCGTGCATAGAACACGCAGAACATGTGATGTCAGCCCACTCACGCAAACGTGGATAAACAAAGAGCTTGGCCGTGAGGGATGCGAGCATTGAAATTACAAACGAAGCTTAACGTCAAAGTACGCACGTTGAATTTTGTTTCGCAGTGTCTACGAAATTGTTATCTTATGGGATTTTACATCAAAGTGTACAGATCGTCAAGTAGAAATCAAATTTCTTGGTAACTGATTTCATTTTTAGATACTCAGTTTTGAATCTGTTTCTTTTGGTAACAAAGCATTATGTTAAAGCGTACAGGTAATCAAGCGAAATTAAAATTTTGCGTGAAATAATTACTTTATTAAATAGTTTTGTTTTTAATTTGTAATTTCTTTCTTTGAGCAACAAAACTATTCTTCATCTATCTCAACTTAATTGTAGTTCTATTGGCAGATGTTATTAATTTTCGTTCAATTGAGAGTCTGTGCTGAGTATGTGACATTTATTATTCGAACATATAGTTACTCTTTCTTTATTATTCATCACGAGCATAACAATGTATAGTAGATTAATGTAGCTATATACCTTGATATGTAATGGTTAAAAACAGAAGGATGGTATAAGTATTTCGGTAATATTCGAGGAAGTCGGCCAACTTTCTATGTACATAAGAATTATTTTTAGAAGAAATTATTTATGTAGATTGCTTGCATAGTTAATACCACCGCTGTCCAATAAAACTACCAAAAGGTCACACTTTAACTGTGACCTTTCCTGACACTTGGAGGACGAAAATATCAAACCCCATTAATATAGGAATATATAAGAAAAGTAACATTGCTTCGGGAGTTGGAATATATGTAAACAAAATCGATCGAAGTAGGCACTCCATTATTTAACACTTTCGATGCACTGAGTGTGACATTTGGTGAAGAAGTAAAAATAAATAACCGAGTAAAATATCTCAATAATAAATGAAAATATATCACCGTATGCTTTATGGTTTTCTGTATTTTTAAACTTTCATTCTTTTTTTTCCTTTTAGGATAAGATGTGTTTTCCTATTTATAACAATACTTGCATTCGAAGGAGAATTGGAATCTTTTTTATTATTCAGACACTTTATTTGAGTTTTACTTCTCCGTGGAACAGAAAATATTCCTCGATCCTTCGCATAAATGATGTACACTACAAACAGTGGGACTGCTCCAGCGTTAGTACTTGGCTTCTTTTTAAACATCGTTCCCAAGAATTGTTCTACTCTTTCAAGAACTTACTTTATAGCGAGAAATGCAAGAATATTTTAATCCTAATCGTCCAGTTATCCCCCACATTTTTATATAATTACAACTGCCATTGATACGGATGTTTAAGTTCTAACATTT